CTTGCACTCTTGCTCTTTGCCGCCGCCATGAAAAGTTGCCCTCTGCTCTGTGCTGCTCTGCATTGGACCCAGCTGAGTATGGACTGAAACCTCCAGCATCTGTGAGCTAAATAAACCTTTCCTTCCTTCATTTTGAGTGTCGGGTATTTGTCCCAGCAACGAGAGAAGAGTAACTAAGACATACAGAAAATGAAGCTGTTTGAGAAAACAACCTTCTGGCAGGTCTGCAGTTGAGGGTGCAGCTATTTGTAATAGGAATGAACAGGACTGAAGACAGAAATGAAGGCTGACGCTGCCACATGCCATGTACCTGACATAAAGGTAGAAGACCCTGTTGGATGTGCTCTAAGGGAGGTGCGTAGATTTTGTATTATTTCTTTACCCTGCTCTTTGTGCTTACGGAGATTGGGTTTGAACTTCTTGGATACCCCTCATCAGCACAAGAAAGGGGCTCATCACCACCTCAACACTGGTGGGACTTCATCTTTGATTTCCAAACTGCAGTTCTTGAAAGTACAGCTGAGTTCCATGTCTTCAGAAGGGCTCTTGAGATTGGAGGGAGCTCAAGCCTCTATCCTTCTAGCCAGCCTTGTCCTCTAGAGAAAAGCTACAGGTGCAAATTGTGCAACCTCTACTTAGGACACCCCAAGGCTCTGCCCAGCCCAGCTATGGACATGCACTGGGGGCTTGCTCCACTCATCCTCCACTCAGCGGTTTGTCTACTGCCTTGCTCTGTTCCTAGAAAAAATAGAATGCAGCTGTACTAGTCACTTCCCACCTCCGGGACACCTGCAGCTAAGGGCAGAGAGGTTTACTTGGCTCACGGTTTCTGTGGGTGCAGTCCACGGTTAGCTGGCTCAAAGGCAGGTGTGGGCAAGGTGGAAGGGGGGAGCAGAAAGCAGCAGCCAGGAAGCAGAGTGGGCAGGCAGGCCCCCAGTGCCCCACCCCTCCCAATAGTCTGAACTTCTGAACCCACGGAAGGACGAGTCCACTCACGATCCCAGCAACCCCATAGTGCAATTGCCTTCCAAACATGAAAATCTAAGGGACATTTGAGAATGAAACCATAGCAGCAGCTTTAATGTACTGCTGCATTTCGTGTTTCCTGTTTTCTTGGCTTCTTTGGCCTTTAGGTATACCATAACAATTGTTTTAAAGAGGGAGAGAAACTCCCAAGGTACATCATAGTTGGCTTACAGATAATTCAGGGTGCCCTGCCAAGTGAAAGGTGCAGTGAGACAGCAAATGGTTTCTTGCTAGAGGCACATCCTGGCCACGCTCTGGTTTGTTAACCCTCAGTCACTCAGTGTGTTGCTTTCTTTTGTCACACTTGTTTATCATTTTATTTTTTATTGACAGAGATGTGAAGAGGGAGAAGGCAGGAAGAAGACTGTGTCTGTCCTGACCCCAGCCGGGGTGGTGATCTCTTTCTGCCTCTGTAGAGCTGCCACACAGGCTGGATGGCACACTCTTCGAAGCCCTCACACAGCTGCCTGGGGAACGTCCTCTTGTCTGTGATTTTGCAAACTTCTAATCTGAATACAGTGTGACACAAACTTGAAATCTGAGTCTATTCAGCCAACTGAAATTAAAGGACCCAGGTTAATTGCAAAATGAGCACATCACCAAAGGAGAAAGTGTTTTTGCCCCCAAGTGGACTTCCTGGAGTGGCTCTGGGCCACTGTAGAGGGGACGGTTTGTTCCCTGTGCTTGATCCTGGAAGCCCTGTGGAGAGATGAGGTGCACACAGGTGCAGTGTAGATCCCAGGGGATTTGAAGGGGGTAGGATGGGAGTGCTCTGAGCTGCGTGGTGTTAGGACTGCTCAGGCGCTAGAGAAGTCTGCACATTTAGTGTGTGCCAAGCCCTGGCACTGGACAGCTGAGCTCATTTACCTCCTTGCAGCAACACTAAGGCAGACACTGGCGTCACTGTCCCCATTACAGGTGAGGAAACTGAGTCAGGAAAGCAGACATAACCTAGTTACTTAACTAAATTAAGCAGCTGGTTAGTGCAAAGGATAAACTACTCCCAGAGCAATCTGAGGGTTAGTGTGTGGAGAGGTGGCCGTTACTGGGCTACTGGCATGAGCAGAGCATCCCCCGAGGGGACCCTGCTGAGAACAAGCGGGTGGAGTGTGACAGAGCTTGCAAGCCCCTGCCTCTTGTGTGGTATGGAGGAAGCACAGAGGCCTGTGGGCCAGAGCAGCACTGGCTCAGGGAAGTGAGGAACACATTAATGACTCCAAATACATCATGCAAGGTTCTCCTACAGAAAGAGCAAATGAAAGGTCGTGGGCCAGTCAGAGTCCAATGAAACTAGGCTAAGCTTTCTCCTCCACACCCCCGGCCTTCCTTCACAACTGACCTTATAAAACACGTCCAAGGCTGTGGGGAGCTAGCCCACATGCAGAAGTATCCTCATCATGTTGCCTCTGCTCCTGGACCAGGGGGACACAGTGTCCTACCGTCTCAGGAATCACCCCAGCCTAACCAAGAGCCAAGAAAGAGACAAGGCCAGAAGGGCCCAGAGTTAGCAACCTTCTTTGTAAAAATAACTCTACTGAACTTGAAAGGTCCTGGGGCTGTCTGTGGATACTGCATCGCAGTGGGACTCCACTGCAGATGGATGGGATTGGGTTGATTTCCTGCTACTGTGCGCTGGAAACAAAGAAGTTCCTGAATTTGCTAACGCTCCCTTAAGTAGAACAGTGCAAAGTACTGAACACCTCTGTTTGGAAGGTAGAGAACCTTCCAGTGACAAACCATAAATTCTGCTAATGAAACTGTGTTCCAAGGCCCAATTGTCTAGAAAAAGTCTTTTCTTCTCCAAATCCCTCAAATGAGTTTAAAATGTGCAAACAATTGCTATAATTTATGCAGAAAAATTTGAAAACTATTAACAGCTTAGTCCACCTAACACCCTAATGAAGTTCTTCCACATTAGTCCTGTGTGTAGCTCAGTAGACAGAGAACAGGAGCTGGCAGCCCCAGCCCTGGCAGCTGGCTGTGAGAGGAGACTGCGGGTCTAATCATTGTGCAAGACACTAGATTATTATCGGGATTCAAGAAAGCTGGATTTGCAGAGCCAAAGGGCTTTAGTTTTAGAAGACAGCCAGATCTAGTGGAGTTGTTTCTCCTTTGTAGTGATTTCTCTAAAAGGGACATCAAGGTGGGATTTCAAACTTTCCCCCATGGAGGTTTGGGTTCTAATATTCTCCTGCAGCAGGAATAGACAGATGGGAGGAGGTAGCTCTGGTCACTCTGATCAGAACACACATTCGTCCTCTGCTGAGGAGGGGGACAAGGGCCGCCTCCTAAACAGGTTCCAGCTTCTCTTCTCCGTGCACACTCGTCTCTACACATGCATCTCCCCACCTTCTGCAACCCACCGGCGCATCATTATGCACATTTACATTAATGAATCTGTCACTTTTTTTTTTTTTTTAAATGTGTGCTCTCGGTTTATCTCAGCGGACGTTGTGCGCAAGGAAAACACCCTTGGAGTTCGAGGTGGGGGTGGCCAAGCCCTGCCTCTGTGGACCCCTAAACAGCAAAACGAAATAGTCAGCACCTGCCGCCGCCACCACCACCACCGAAATACTTCTGCCTGGATCCCAGATTTCGGGCAGCGCTGGCTTTATCTGCCCTTCTGCGGCTCTCTTCCTGAATCTTGGCTGCCTCCTTCCAATAGATAATTAAAATCCTTCCTACTTTCTCAATACCCCGTGGGGAAATTCCACTCGGAAATTCTCTTTTCCTTGTCATTTTTACTTCACCTCGGAGAGGCGATGGAGAAGCCCCCTCTCCCCTCCACTCTTGCAAATGACGTAGAGAGTCTGGACCGCCTCCCCGCCCCCACCTCTTTGATGCTAACCCCATTCCTGGAGAATGTTTTCCTCCTAATCCCTGATTACTGCGCGCCGGGTGAGGGCGGCGGAGGCTGCCCGCAGAGAAACTTCGGAGCCAGTGCCAACCTCCGCTGCACCCCAGTCGGCTGCCCGAGGCCAGAGAGCCCAAGTCACCCACCCGGCTGGTTACAAAGCCCGCGAGGGCAGAAGCGCGGGAGCGTCAGCCCCAGGCTTCCAGAGCCCCGCGGTGCGCCCCGGGCCGAGCTCGCCGGGGACAACTTACTGTGCTCGCTCGCCGGCTGCACACTGCTAACTCCCAGTGGGAGGGGTGACACCGCCGAGGCTTGGGCGCGTCGAGGAATGGAGGCCACAAAAGCTCAGAGAGCACGGAGAAATAAGCCCGAGAATGACAGGCACCGGGCAGTGTCTTCCTGGTCCCGGAGAGCGCGCCCGGGGTGCAGATGGGGGGACCCCGGGGGAGGCGGGCCCGGCCTGGGAATTCTGGGGCTGCAGCTCAGACAAGTAGTTGAGGAAGAGCAGCCAGCCGCCGGCCAGGGCAGCGGCGGCCCCTGGGTGACCCGGGGGCGGTAAGGTGGAGCGCCCGCGCTCCGCGGCGCTGCCCCACACCGGCGCTCGCGCCCCAGCTCCAAACGCCCGGCTTCCGAAGGGACGGGCGGCCG